TTTTCAAAAATTTCATGATTTTAAGTGTGGCATGCAGACGAGTCATTAAGGCAATCGTTATTTGAAATGAAAACAGTAACTTTTTTGTAATGTAATCGCACATAACAAAGTTACTGCTTTAATTTCGATAGTACTCATTATGAGTATTGAGTTGTAATGGAAATCAAACGTGGAGAAGTAATCGAAAAGAAAGAACTGAGCGATATTTAAGGATGTGACAGGTTTATACACATCGCTAGATGTTGTCGGTCCGGCTTCTCGTAATCTGCTGCAAGATCTTACTGGGCATTCAATGACCTCAAGTGAATTTCCGTCATTCAGCATTAAGGTTTGTCGTTTTCCCAATGCTTTTGAAACTAGAGTTGATCAGTATATTCGACGACTTGAGATTACGAAGCATGGTCAGAGCTCAAATAGAGAGCTAATTTTTTGTGAGAGAAAAGTATTTGCCATTCGTTCCTTCAGTGGTTTGAATGTTCATTAATAATTGAATTGTTTTCTGTGCTTTTTGATGTGTAATTGTTTTGGTGTGAGATTGGCGTTATTGTTTGTAGGAACTGAGTATTGATATAGCGACGGGTATTCGTGCGATTAGTATATCGCATTGTGGTGAACTTGGATNTAGGAACTGAGTATTGATATAGCGACGGGTATTCGTGCGATTAGTATATCGCATTGTGGTGAACTTGGATGGGTTCTTTATATTCCCAATGAGGTCGGTGGTCATATTCAGGATTAGAATTATCCAAATGAATCGTATTGTTATCATTTCCATTATTGATACTCGTTTTATTGTTGCACGTTTTAATATTAATATTGCTAATAATAATAATGATAATAAAAGTAATAATAATAATAATACCTTGATGGCCATATAATGCGTAATATCACTATTATTATTATCATTATTCTTATTCTCATTGCTGTGAAAAATGCGTATCTTAGCGCTAGTACACAATTAATATTGCTGTTCAGTCATTTACTGTGACTTTTGCCAGAGTCTAATCTGAACTCTTGCTGTTGGAGTTAATATGATCACATCATTCGTGTCGTTTTTAAATACTCATATATTGTGTACCTTTCTAGAGATGAAATCTTCTACGCATTGTGTCAGTCGAATAATTTATTGAGTAGATACGCGAAATAATCGATGAATTTGTTTTGATTAATTTCGAAAGCTTTCAGGTAGCGCAAAATGTTTACGAAGGAATTGTGGAGGCC